GGGGGGGGCTGCGTTCTTTAGGTTTAAAATTCTGTAGGGGCTGGGGAAAATATCTCTCTGAGAGATTGGGGGGTTCATCTACCCTCCGTGGCACCACAAAGTCAGGAGCCCCTGATGATCTGAAACCCTTCTGTATTTCCCTATTTTGAGCAGGATTCTCCTACGGAATCTTGGATCACAGCGTTCAGTACTGCGAGCTGGGCACCATCTAGTGCATCCGGTCTCATGGCAAAGGAGGCAGCTATTCATAGAGGCAATTAGCCACACATCCCACACCCTCCTCCTGTTCCTGACCTTCTTTTTACCTCTGTGGCTCCAACTGGACAGAAACAAATTACTGTGCCTCGGATGGCTGCTTGCAAACTTCGAAGGCCCTAGGCACTACACAGTGAACCAAGCGGTAGAGCAGGAGCTCTGAGCCTGTGATTCGGCCGATTAACTGGAGCATCCCCTGAAACCATGACCCACCCATCTCCAGACCAAGGAGCCTGGTCCCATTAGCTGTTTGGTTGTACATAAGCAGGCTCTGGAAAGAGGAACTTAATCCGGGCGTAGGACACGCAGGAAGTAAGGAAGGAGCTATCACACGGCGGCCGGCGTTGGTGCCATCACCCAGGGCTCAGAAAACACCCTGCTGGAAATGTGTGCCAAGTGGGTGGGGTGGAACTCAACTGCTTTCTCCTCCTCCCTCAGCTTTACCCTTCAGAGTGGCTGATAAAAACAGAATCGAAACCTAAGCATTCCTTCCTCCTTCCTGTCCCCTGGGGAGGGGAGAGAGGAATCAACGCCACATCTCATTAAGCTTTTACGAGCTCGGGCAGGCAGAGTGGGCCCCACCGGAGGCTGGTGGAGAGGGTGGGGGCAGCTGCAGGAAGGACTCCCCAGCTCTGGGGGAAGAGCTGCCCCAGACCTTGGAGGCCTGCTCGGTGGGAGATGAAATAAGGGGTTAACAACAGATGTGGAGGTAACAGCTGCATTTATTAAAGTGAAATCAAAAAGGGCAACAGGGACGATGGGGAGATGGGGGGATAACAGACAGTGGCAGAGAGAGGGCTGCAGACCCGTCAAAGTGGCCTGGAGGAGCTGGTGGAGGGGCCGGAGAAACAAATGGAGAAGACTGGGCTTTGCACCACAAGGCTCAAATAAGGAGCTCGTAAATGCACGTGGGAGGCCCACGGACGAGGAGCATGATTAGTGTGAACAGGGGAAATGAGAGCACTCTGTGAGCTCACAAAGATGACCGGTGGAAGCCATGGTGAATGAAGGCCACAGCGTGATCTGCAGCGTAGGGTGGGAGAGAGCATAAATACCCCAGTGAACCACATAGAGAATGGACAGACGGGGGCTGGGACTCGAGGCAGCGGAGGGCCATCCTGCCTATGCTGCCCTGGAGGCATCTGGTCACCCGGGCATCCTGAGGCAAAGGTGGCGGCAGCGGCAGCAGCAGCAGCAGCAGCAGCAGCGCACACACACGAAGTTGGGGAGTGCATGGGTGGGGAGCAGTGGCCTGGCTTCAGCAGGGCAGGGGCACCCGCTGATGTAGTGAGATGGAGGACTGGGGAGACTGGCCTTGGCTGTGGGGGTCTTTGGACAGAAGGCAGGCAGAGGGGGACTGGGGCCGTTGAGGCAGTGCCTAAAATACTGGCTGGCCACAACCGCAGGGGGCAGCAGTGGACACAGAGCAGCTTGGCCTTCTGGGGCCAGGGGATGGACCACAGGTCACTCACTCCCCACCTGGCTGTAAAACCCTGGTGTTTCTGGAAGTTTAAAGCCACACTGCCTTCCTCCAGGGCAAGGTCCACTTGAGCCAGCGCAGGAGATTTGAGCCAGTGCAGGAGATCCTGCCTGCCCGTGGCCACGGTGAAAACTCCCAGCTGGGGCTGCCAGGCCGCCCCGAGGGCGGCTGCGGCCTGAGCTGTGTGTGCACACAGAAGGTGAGGGCGAGTTTGTGTTAAGAAAAGCATCCGGGGAGCCAAGCAGGGCCTGGGTAGCACCCAAGGCTGCTCTCACTTCCACAGGAAATTCTTGTTGAGGAGGAAGATGAGAAGGTTGACGTTGACCTTGGCCTTGTTGAAGAGTTTCATGACAGCCACGCCCTCGTATTGAAGCTGCAGGAGGTCCTGGGAGGGGACAAAGGGGCTCAGGAATTGAAGGGCCCGAGGGGTGCTGGGAGGCGCAGCGGGTGACCCACAGGGGTGCTAAGTGCAGGCTTGGTGGTTCCGGTCTGTGGGAGACAGAAGAAGCTGCCTGCCCCCACAGACCAGCAGCCTCGGGACCGTGGGGAGCAGTCCGCAGGGTGGCTCGGAGCCAGGATCAGCTTGCTGGTGTGGGGTTGCTGTGGCCCAGCAAACACCAACATCTCGGAGCTTGATGTAGTCACCCAGTGACAGGGTAGGGCCGTAGCCCACACTCTCTCCTTCAGGAAGCAGTGGAACCCCACCCCACAGACGAGAAAACTGAGGCCAGGGCTCCAAGTCCCTCAAACAGCGGAAGAGGAAGGGCAGGGAGATTTGGACTTGAAAACACTGCTTCCCTACCACGTAGGCAGCTTCCTGGCTGCTTCAGGGTTGGGAGAGGATAAAATCAGGTCCCACACCAAGCCCCGGGTGCAGACAGGGCTCCACAGGGGGCTCCTGCCTCTGACCCTGGCCCCGCCAGCCCTCCACTAGCCTCCATGTCCTCAGTGGGGCCTGTCTGGGCGCGGGGACAGAGCGCTTGGGCGGAGCTTCTCTTTAGGAAGAGCCAGCCCTGGCCGGGTAGGGGTCAGAGCGGCTGTTGCCCAGGGAGGTGAGCTGGCCCACACGCTGCTGGCCCCTCACGCCCTCGAGGGCACATGGGCATGGCCCTCACCTGATAGTGAAGCTGAAACCGCTCCATGTCCACGCCCAGGAACTTGGCATTGACTTCGAACTTGCCCGCCTCATCCCCAGGAGTGATGTCAAAAATCACGTTTCTGAAGCTGTCAGGAACAGGAGTCACAGTGGGGACACGATGCTTCTCTCCAGGGCCACCCTCACATTCCCACCCTCTCCTCAGCCCGGCAGCCGTGGACGTCACGTAGAGCCCAGGTGTCCATTCTGTCACCCCCACCAGGCATGGCTCTGGGACTTCGCCCAGTCCCCCTGCTGGCCGACATACCTGGCCCACTGTTCTCCTCCAGGAAGCCATCCCAGAATCCTCTGCCTTGGGGCACTTGAAACCGTGCCAGACCCTGCCCGCAGCCCTGAACTTTCTGTCTGGGATGTTGTTTCCCCTATCATCCTAGCGGCTCCTTAAGGCGGGGACCATGTTTTCCCCCGACCTGGCGTCCTTCCCAGAGCTCCACCCCCAGGCTCGGACACAGGAAGGGCCTGACATCCTGTCCTCGGAAGGCAGGCACGTACTGAGAGGCCGGAAGATCTTCAATTTCCACCAAGACCCCCTTCTCCAGAAGCTGGGCGGCGGTGTAGTGAAGGCACGGCGGCTTCCGCCCTTTCCCAGCATTCCTGGTTTTTAAAAAAAAAGGCCCAGAGAATTCATCCCCAGACCAAAGACACTTGTTCTCTGTGGCTGGTGGGAACGTAGGAGCCGAAGGCGGGGAGCTGGGAGGGAGGCTCGAGACCGGAGCCAGGAAAGGGACAGGAGGGCCCTCGCATGGCTAGCAGGGTGGCCCAGGCCTGGCCTGGGTGGCGGGAGGCCGTACTTGGTGCTGGGGGCCAGGTGGCTGAGGCAGGCCCGGAGGTACTGGCTGTAGTAGTCGCCCTGCTCCTCGTAGAAGGTGGTCTTGGTGCTCAAGCCCTGGAACGTGGCCTGAAGCTGCAGCAGCTCTGCTTTCCGCCGTTGCCGGTGGCGACGCTGGTTGCGGATATCCTGGGGGGGGTGGGGGGGTTGGCGGGAGATGGACCAAAGAAGGGGTGAGCTGGCTCTGCCTGCTACTCACTGTGAGTCTAGATCTTCAGGAACAGAGAAAGGTGGGGGGTAGTTTTTCTTAGGAGGATGGTCACAAGCGTGTCACCCTCAGGTCCCCAACGGATATCCGGAGGTCCCCGGCCCGAGCAGCCCTGGCTTCAAGGTGCCTCAGCACCCAGAAGGAGCTACCAGAACAGTGCTGCTCTCTGGCTACTTTGAAGAGACCTTCCTTCTGGCGGGTGAAAGCTGTGGGCAGGCCCTGGCCAGGGTGCCCATTAGGCACACCCAAGATGCCGGGGCTGGGCCTCACCTTGGCCAGCTCGTCCACCAGGCCCTGGTAGCCGTTGGAGGCGCTGACCAACCCCAAGCCCTCCAGCCGGCGCAGGTTCCGCAGGACTCGCCGCTGCTTCTCGGCCAGAGGCAGGAGGGAGTGAGCGGTCAGGGAGCGGTGCCACCGCAGTGGCTCTGGGGTCTGGGCCTCGCAGGCCTGGCGCCGGCCCATCAGTCGCTTGTGGGCCACTTCCTGGGGACAGAGAGGCCGGAGGGGTTGACCAGGCCCTACACTCGGCCCCTCAGCCAGGCCGGCCCCGCGGCAGGGAGGGATGCAGGCCTCTCTCTTTCGGGGCAGCAGGCCAGCGACTCCTGGGGGGGGGGTGTGAGGCACATCCAGGGCCACATCACAGATGGGGACAGAAGGCCCTACGATCTGCACTGGGCAGGGAGTGGCCGAAGGAGCCGGGCTGACAGCACAGGGTTTGGGGAGGGGAGGTCACCGCCCTCTGTCCTGAGTCTGGGGCTTGTCTCTACTCGCTGCCCCCCGCCTTTCCCTGGAGAGTCCCCGGCTTGTCTTCACTCCAGCTGCTGGCTCCACTTGCCCTTGGCGCCCAGCTCACCACCTCCTCCTGCCTCTAGGCCTGTAAGTGGACCACTCCCTCTGCAGTGCTCAAGGTAGGTGCCCAGACTGCCTGCCGATGGGCACTCCCTCCCCAGCCCAGTGTGGAGGGAAGGCCAGGGGACCTCCAGAGCCCCCTCTGCTCTGCATGTGGGGAGCAGTGAGGGAGACAGAGGCAGGGCTGGGCCCCTCAGCCTCTGGGGGGCAGGTAGAGGCGGGGAGGGCCTCCCTCCATCACTGGGAGAGAAACAGAAGGGGAAGCAACATGCATTGATAAGACAGGGTAGGCGGGGCTGGCCTGGCAGCACTCACCTGCTCTCTGGAGACGGAGATAGACAGGACCTCCTGGAGGGAGTCCCCCGGATGGAACTGTAGGATGTCAGCCAGCATCTGCTTGGTGCTACAGGAGGACGGGGGTGAGTTGGGAGGGGCAGGGCCTGGCTGGACAGCGAGAGTAAGTGGACCCTGGCTGTATCCCAGCTGCCAAGGAGGCTCGGGAGAGAGATAAGAGACCCAGTGAGAGGGGTTTTGGGGGAACCAACCCTGGAGGGTGCTGATCATGCAGAAGCCCCCACAGCCCTGCAGACACCGTTTCCTCGGAGTTCTGTGTCCTCTGCTTCATGCCCCCTCCCCAAACTGGCTTCCTCTGAGTCCTCACCAGACCTTTCCCAACCAAGGTGTCCCTTCAGGTGCACCTGCTCAGCACCCCCGACACCCCCTCCCTCTTGGTGGCTCTCTGTAAGCCCTTGGGGTGGCAGGACCAAGGAGCACACACCCCGCCGGCTCTCGGGTCTATCGGTGCTGCAGGGAGGGCTTGCTCCTCCTGGAGCGGACCTCACCCACCTCAGCAGCAGGTTCTGGGCAGTGGTGTCATCAGCGCCTGTCTTCACCCCTTCAAACTTGTTGCTGAGGGTCAGGGACACTTCCAGCCTGCTCAGATCCTCGGTCCCATCTGCAGCTACGTTCTCCCCTGAGATTTAGAGAGAGGGAGAGAGACAGACACACACACACACACACACACACACACACACACACACACACACACACGGGATCACGGTAAATATTCCAGGCTTCTTCCCAGAAGGCCCCCCAGCCCCCCACCCTGCCCTCACCCCTGAGCACCTCAGAAAGTCTGTCTCCCACAGAGCTGTGTCCTGGGAATGGGCCTCCCCTGACCCCTCCGCCCTTGCTGTCCTGGCAGTGCCTGCACCTGAGCTTGGAGTACCCTGTGCCCTCTTGTGCCCACCATCTTCACCACACCTCCCTCTTCCTCCTCCCCACCTCCTTAGATCCTGAAATCCCTCCTCCCCAGAGAAACCGTTTGAGATGAGACAGCGTGCAGAATTGCTCAGCCCAGGCCAAGGGGCCCGTCCCCCTCCCATCCATCTCAAGCCTCTATCGCTTGCCCCTTTGGGCAACCAGGCCGGGTCCGCCTGTCCACCCTCTCCAGAGAGGACAAGACCCTGCGAGGGCACGCTAACAGGCTCTGCCCGCGAGCTGGCCCTCCCTCTTCTCCCCCACCGGCCCTAGCTGCCAGGGGGCACACACCAAGGAGGTCAGGGACCGAGGGCAGCTCCCCGAGGTCGTCCAGCAGCTCGTGCAGGGGGTCGTGGTGGTCAGGGGCGATCCAGTCCTGGTGCTCCAGCAACAACTGCGAGGAGGGCAAAGGAGGGTCTGAGGCGGCCACCGTGGACTCTCCCGCCCACCCCCCGCCCTCACCAGGCTGCAGCCCTCACCCTGTGTGTGCTGACCAGCTCCCCCACTGTGATGTACACCACGGGCCTGTCCAGAGCCACTGTGTCCGAGTATTCGTCCACTGCAAACCGCTCTTCTGGCTCCGGCACCTGGCAGGCCCGGCACAGGAACCTCCTGCCCCACAGGGAGCCGTGTGAGTACGCACAGCCCTGTTCTGGCCCCAGATCCCCGTCTCAGCTCTTGCCTTGCCTCTTGATCTCAACAGCTCACGAGCCAACTTCCACCAGCTCCGTGCACTCCTCCGGGTGGTCCCCCCAGCAACCTGCCCTCCAGTCGATGCCCCGCCCCTCGGTGGATTCTGAGAGAGGGACGCCAGGAGCCCAGACCTGAACTTGAGGTGCGTCTCCTCCAGGTAGCTGTTCAGGACCCGCAGGTGGCGGTTCTCCCCGGAGAAGGTCTTGCCGGCTGCCGCGTGCTGCAGGAGCTGAGCCACCGCCCCCAGTGCGTGGCGCTGTGGGGTAGCAAGGGCGCCGCCCGCTGCCATGGCCACAATGTCGAAGGCGTCAGGGGCCACCACGGCGGGGTTTAGGAATCGGTAGTACAGGAGGTTCCCTACGACCTGAGGGCAGAGGAGGCCACTCCAGAAGCGCCCTGGGGTTCGCCCTCTTGGCAGGGAGAGAGCCCTCATTTCACAGAGCAGAAAACAGACCCTGAGTAGGCTAGCGGCTCGTCCTAGTCACGCAGCAAGCTCGAGCAAGAGCTGGGACTAGAACCCAGATCTCTGACACGTCCAGGGTCGTCCTCTCTATTAGCACCGTTCCAGCTGCCACCTGAGGCCCTGCTGGTGCGGGATACTTACTCTCTTGGACTTCAACAGCACAGGGTCTCTGCCCTTCCCCTCAGTCGGGGAGCTGCAGGGGGAGGAGGGCCGAGGGGGAGGGGGGACAACACTTGCCTTGTAGACCTCGCTCTCGCGGGCGTCAGGGAACTTCTCCGACAACGCTGTCTTCAGGACCTTGGCCACGTACCGCATTCCGTACCTGGGGGCAAGGGGTGTGCTGTGGCTCTGTTCACCTGGCCACCAGAGCTGCAGTGCCTGCCTGCCTCGCCTTCCCCACGCTTGGCCACGCCGGGGCGGAGAGCAAGCAGTGGCCCTCCGCTGTCCACAGCCTGCTACCTTTGTCCCAAACTCTGGGGCCTGGTCCTGAGTCAGGACACAGGACCGGGGCCCTGCCCCACACCAAACTCTCACAGCACAGCCCGAGGGCCTCTTCTTTGGCCCCTTCCACTGCCCATCCGCCTTCTCCCACCAAGGTGTTTTAGCTTTTACCTCCGGTCCCTGACACCCACTGCCCCAAACCTTGTCCCAGGACAGCCCCGAGGGCTCTGTGGCTGCCGCCCCTGCCAGCGACCACCAAGCAGCTCCCAGGGCCCTGCTGTGGGCCAGACGCAGGAGGCAAACTGGTGAGCTGAGAGGAGGTGCCGCAAGCCCCAGCCCTGACCCCACACTAACCAGCCAGACCTTCCCATTCCTTCCCCTCTGCCAGGCCTAGGAAGTGCTTGGCCGAGGAACGCTTCTGGCCCGCCTTATCCCACAGGGCCTTGGAGGGCACCGGGATGGCCAGGAGCGGAGGAAGCAGTGGACACTGGCCGAGTGCTATTCAAATACTTGATACTTCCCCTTCTTTCTAGTGTTGATCGGCCGCCGCCAAAGGTACTAGAGACAGGTGCTTATGGCTAGCTCCTTGTGTCCTGTTCTTTGCTTGGTCTGGGGCCGCCTTCCCCAACCCCAATTGCAAAGCCTCAGACCGCTTCTCCGGACTGATTTGCAAAGCTGAGTATCAGTCTTGGGGTGGGGGGCTTCTCTCACCAGCACCCCTCCCCCAGCGGCCCTGACCACCAGGAGCGCTGGCTGGCGAGTGGAACCAGGTGATGGCCCCCTTGCTAGATTTCCATTCTTTTGAAAATCACTTGTTGGCTAAAGGCTAGGACTATTGGCACATCGTCAACCTTGAAGTGGGAGACCGGTCGGGTGGGGTGTAACGACGTGGGCAAGATATAGCAGATGACCCTTGGTTTCCTGGTCCGTGCAGTGGGGGCAGCACTGCCCAGGCCTTAGGTCCTGGCATTCTCGTGAGAACATCGTGACCGCAGCAGCAGCTGACCAGCTGCCCCCTCCGCATGCTGGTGCCGTCGCGCTCCCGCCCGGCAGCCAGCCCAGGGAAGGAGAGGGACCTAAGTGCTCTACCGGTCTGGTGCACGTTCATTTTTGGCTCTGTGGACCCAAGAGTGCTTATTTTCCCCCATCTGCTTTCAATCACGTGTCCTTGTGACCACGTGAGGGCTGCCTTCTCAGGCGCCAGTCATGTCCTTTGAGCTACGAACAGCCCAGCCTCAGCCAGGGGCTCCACTGCGTCCCCCGCCCCCGCCCGCCGAGTACGCACGGGATCTGGTCCACGGATGACATGATGGCCACAAGAAACTTCTCGGTCACAGCGAGGAGGTTGCGTATGGAGATGTCTAGTCGTCTCTGGACCTCGGGGTGGCTCAAGGCCTGCTCCGGGGTGACCTCATAGGGGAGGTGGCTGTGGGCCAGAGGGGACATCAGCCAGAGCCCTCTCCCACGGCGCCCCTTCCCAGGCCCATCCTTTAAACTCCCACTGCAGGCTCTGGTGCTCTAAGGGCAGCCCAGCCTCAGAGACCTGGAGATGGGGTGAAAGGGGAAGGGCTGGGGAGGCCAGAGGGAGGTGGGTGGGCACAGGAAAGCATGGGGAACCGGAAAGTTGTGGGAGGACCCCTCTGAGGCCCAGGAGGGACAGGGCCCGTGGCACCTAGCCTGTGGGGGGATGGGCAGGAGGGAAGACAGGCCCTATGGCCAAGAATCTGGCCCTACCCAGAGTGGCCCCAGACAGGCAGCCCTCCTGGGCAGCTCCATTTCACCCTCAGGGAGCAGGAGGTACCCTACTCTCGAAGGCCGGCCTCAGGAGCCTGGGGCCCCATGGGAGACGCACGGGGCCGCTACACTCAGGGCAGGTGGTTCACACTCAGGAGCCCCTCCACAGGAGGGAGGAGGGGCTGTCTACTGCCGCAAAGGCCTAGGCTCAGAAAACTGACGTGGGGTTTCCTATGAGCTGGGACTGGCCAGCCTGCTTCTCCCTCGATCTCATTTGCCTATTCATCTGTAAGCCTGAATATTCATCCATACACCGATCAATAAAGAGTGCTTATCCCCACTCCCGGTCATTCTGGCGTGTATCATTTGCAAGCACTGGCACCGCAGTGAGCACATTTGCACATTCATCTGTGCACAAGCATTCTTTCTGTGTTAAGCTCACCAGGTTTGGAGTCATCTCCAGCAGCTCTGTGTCCATTACCAGAGGGGGTCTAAAAGGCGACCCTATCTACTCCTATAGGCCTGATGCCATCTTTGCATAAATCAGCATGCTCATGTATATGCTACTTTCAAAGGACACCATGCCGTCCATCCGCAGTGGGGCCCCAGACCAAGCTGATCAAAGAGCAAGTGCGCTCCCCTGCCCCGTCTGCTCACCTGCGCTGGCCCGTCTGGGCCTCCGTCTGGTTGACCCAGCTCTTGTAGAGGTGGACAGGGTCTGTGTGGACGCTGAGGGTCTTGTCCTCCAGCATGTCCTGGATCACCTTGCCCAGGATCTCCCGCAGGGCACTCGGTCCCCGCCCGTTCCGGTAAAATCTCACCACCAGCCTCACCACTGTGGGGTTACCGGTCACCACGTCCTGGGGCTGCTCCACCTTCGACCTGTGGGCCAAGAGGTCATTGAAGCTGGTCTCCTGCCTCTGTGCAGGGTGACTGGCTGTTGCTTTTCCTCTGTGAGACGATGGGGGCAGCAGCCCACGCTGCGGGTCCCTCACTGCGGGTCCCTTACGGAATGCCCCGAGGTCCCCCCAGCTCAGCCTTGGTGCCAATGACACAACCCGCCCCTCCCATGCTGTTGTCCTGGGGATGTCCCACAGTCCCTCTGCAGGCCTTTCCTACCCTCAACCCCCCACAAACTGCCGTTTCTGAAGGAGCCAGCCTCGTCACCCCTTCGCCCACCCACCACCACCACCCCGTTGGAACCTACTTGATCTCCTCGCGGAGTGCTGCCTTGAACAGCTGGAGCAGGAGGTAAGCCTCGCGGCGATTGGAGGCGTAGTTGTACAGAGTGAATATCACCGACTCCATGAACTTGGTGGTTTTGTTCTGCGGCATCTGAAAGATCAGCTTGGCCAGGTAGATGGGCTGGGTCTGCAAGCAATGGGGAAGTCAGGGGCGGCAGGGACGTCATGCCGGGGGCTGGCGATCAGACAAAGAAAAAGGCTTTGCGGGGGCGGGGAGGGGTTGGGATGAAGAAAGCACTGTCACGCTTTCTCAGAATACTGGAAACATTCGGGAAAAACTGGGGAGGGCGTCATCTTTTTCTCCTTGGGGCAAGACCCAGGATGGCAGGAAAGGACACCCTGCCTGGGGGCAGAGGCACAGCCCTGAAAGCCGCTGGGTACCAGGCCCTCAGGGGTGGTGGACACCTCTCCTTCCAAAGACCTCGGCTCACCTGCAGCAGGTAGAAGAGGTGCTGGTAAGCTTCTAGCTTCTGCCGTTTCTCTTTGCTCAGCGACTTTAATCCCTTCTGCTTGTCCAGAACCATCAGCTCTGACAGCTGCTCCTTATTCTTCTTGGTCAGCTTCTTGCAGTGGGAGACCACCTCCTGCGAGGGGAGTGGGGGGGGGCAGGTGTTGTGCCAGCTCACAGCACAGAGCATATGTTCCAGAACGGACGCAGTGGGAGCCAGGGCTTTCCCCTGTTCAGGGACAGGTGCGAGCGGGAAGTTAAATGGTTCCGGGGTGAGGGAGGGCCCCCTGATGTCCTGAGAGTCCACCTAGGGGCAGTCCGTGGAGAGAGGCGGGCTGTCGGGCTGAAGCTTCGCGCCTACTGGCTTTTATGATTACTCCTCATTAGACTGTGCGGATGTGCGGGGGCAACACACTGTGGCAACAGCACACTGTGTCTCTGACGCCATTTCCCCATGGACCTGTCTTCGGACGTGCCCCTGGGATTCCCATGGGAACGGTCAGTGGAAAGCACTTCCCATTGTGTCCCTGCCTTTGGTCTGGTGGAGGTGGCACTCTTGTTAAAGTCACTTGGCTAAGGAGGAAACTGACAGGGAGGGGGCTCACAGGCCCACCCACGCCCCTTCCATCACGGAACTCGCAGAGCCGCCTGCCAGTCCTGTGGCCCGGGTTCTTTCTGCTACACACCTGTCACCAGCACACGGCCTACTAGGAGACAGAGGGCCATGGGGACAAGGACCTGAGCCAAGTGATAAAACCCACACATTGTTCAGGGATTTGATGAGTGGCCAGGGACACCTCTCCAGAGGTGGCAAGAGGTGGGCCCTCACCTGCAGGGTGATCCGGTTCTTCACCAGCAGGCCAATCTTGATGTCCATGAGGTTGAGGTCCTGCTCCAGCTGCTGGTTGGACCGGATCTTCCGGACCACCTCTTCCTGGAGCTTCAGCAGCTCGGCCTCCGCCGAGAAGTCCTGCTGGCTTTGATTCAGCAGGTGGGCGAATCTCCGAACCACGCTGAGAGGCGGGTGGGGTGCGTGGACTGGTGGAAGGAGAGGCAGTGCCAGGCTTAGGCAGGCGTTTGTCAGTGGCCCCCTCCCCAGTAGTCTCCCCTGCCACTGTTCTGATCAAGGACAGCAGGCCTTCTTCTGATGGATTCTGCTCCCCAACGGATGGCAGCATTCCAGCCAGCCCTGTCCCAGAACCCCACGTCTTATAACCAGGTGTAACCAGGTGTTCTCTCAGCTGCTGGTTGGCCCCAATGATGGGCCTATCCCAGTGGCGGCTACACCCAAGCCGGGGCCTCGCTTCACTGATGAGCCCCCAGGCCTCCCTGTTGCACGGTTTCCCTCCTCCTTCCCCGTTGCTGGGCCAATCTGCTGCTCATCCTTCATACCCAGCATGCTTCCACCCGTCGGAGCCTCCACTCAGCCCTGCCTGCCCCTCACACAGCACTCCTGCCTGGGTGGCTGCACCCAGGGGGCCCCACAGATAACAGAAGGTGGGGGTGGGTTTCAGAGCTTGACGGATGGTGCTTCCCTTGATTTTGCACTTGGTGTGTCGGCGAAGAGAAGCTACAGAGAGCGACAACAACAAAACTACTGTTCTGAATGCTTTCCGTACTCAAACAGCCCTGCAGCCCGGCCACTCAACCACTCCGCCGTCCTGAGGAGACTGGCACTGCTCGGAGCGCTTACGTAGCTTGCCCGAGGTGACTGGGGCGAGCAGTGGGCTCTGGGAGAACGACTAGAGGGAGGCCCTGTGCCTGCTGCCAACTGCCATCGCCGGTTCTGACTCGGGGCAGGCCCGCATGTGCCGCCGCCACCCCTCCCTCTGGCTGCTGGGTGGAGTGCCTGGTGGCGTATGCCGCCCAGGGACTTGCAGGCCCTGGCCCTCAAGGCTCTGAGCCCAGTGTGGACACCAAACAAAGAAGCTGCCGACTTACAATAACACAGCTAGGGCTGTGAAGGGCGGCGCTGGGCAGTGTGAGGGGCCAGGAGGGTCTTTGGGGCCCGAGTGGCCACCCTAACTCCACCTGGCGCCCAGAGAAAGGTTGCCCTGGAGTGAGGCCATGCTGACTGCCGGCAGTGGATGGAGGTGGACAGATGTGGGCTATGTGGGGAGGTGTTAGAAGTCATGCATGCCTGGGGCCCAGTGAGGAAGCCGGTGGGGGCTGGGAGGAGGACATTGGGGGGGCAGGGAGAGGCTGGACCGGAAAGCCCAAGAAGCTGTGGTTAGAGGATCGACCGACCGGGGCTTATCTTCCGTGCAGTGGGGAGCCAGTGCCCAGGTCTAAGGGACTAACCTGGCTGCGGCAGCGAGGGTGGGTCTCTGAGGGGTGAACGGCAGAATGAAATGCACAGGGTCTTCACAGAGTTTGTGGACAAATGGGGCGGGGTGAGAAGAGAGGTGCATTCCCCATGGACCTTTGGGAACCCACTTAGACAGCACGTGGGTGTCTCTAATCCTGATCACAACCCTACGAGACCTCATGGCCCGCCGATGAGAAAGCTGGAGGCTTGAGGAAGCTCAGGACCTCACTGGAGCCGCACAGTGGCTGGGCAGCGGGGGAGCCTGCGAGAGGCTAAGGGAGTCAAACACCATCTTCCAGAAAAACTATCAACTGAGGGAAAAGAAGGGAAAGGATGCAAGACCGGGGATGAGCCAACAGCAGCAAGAGCAGAAGAAAAAGGGTCCGTGGGAAAGAGGAGGAGCGAGAGGAGGAGGCGGGTGGGCTCCAGGGCCCCCGGGGAAGCCAGGAAGTCAGCCGGCGCCGCCCCACCGGGCAGAGCAGTGGGGAGAGAGAGAGAAGGAGGTGGAGGGAGCGGGCTCCTGAGCAGAACCTCCAACCTGAATCCAAGAGTGCCGCTCAGGCCCAGAGGGACCTGGAAGTCGGATACAGCAAGTGTGGACGGGACCAGCTTGTCACCGTCGCAGCAACGGCTGGCCTTCTGCGTTTTCTGGACAGGAACCCAGAGCCGTCTGGAAGGACCTTGCCAAGGCTTTGAACACATGCCCGGCACATTCAGGAAGTGGGGAGACGGAGCTCCCTCAGGTGTGCCCCCTCGCTTAACCCCTGGCAGCACAGGAAGGGCTCAGCTGGCCACACTCTCTCGGCTGCGGCTGTGTGGAGCTGCCCAGGCCAGCGCCAGGAGAAAGCAGACAGTGGGAATGCTGGGCGGAGGAGAACGCAGCTTCTGGTGCCTGGAGGTCACAGCAGGGAGATCTTCTAAGCCTCTAAGTACCGGAAACCCTGCTTCCAGGTGCAGGCATCTCTGCCCCGGTTAGCGCCCCTGTGGTGGCAGGGGACTTTGTTACAACCACTCCACAGTCCTGTAGCGGCAGCTTGGGACTTGGGCCCCTTACTGGTTGTGCAGCCCCAGGAAGGACATCTAGACCTGCCTGCCCTGCGGTGAGTCCTAACTCCCCTGTTAAACTGGCAGATCTCTACACACTCATTCACACACACACGGCAGATTGGGGACACCCGCGGCCGACGAGAGAAGTGGGCTCAGGAAGGCCAGGCAACCTCTTCAGCTATCAGCTTCAGGGAAGTGTGACCTGCAGGCTGACCGGTGCCGGCTGAGACCCAGCCAGCTCACTCACCCGGGCAGAGGTGGCCCGCCTGCTCACCTAATGTCCGGTAGTCATCCCGGACCCTCCTGGCTCGGAAAAAGGCCTGGATCTTTACAATAGCGCTGACCTGCCGGGGACACAGGAGGGGAAAGGTCAAAGGCTGCCCTTGCTCTGGTCTCAGGAGGGCAGGGCGGGTGTGGGGGAGCAGGGTGACCCTCACGTTCTTCCGGAAGTAGCGCAGACGCCTTCGGTATCGCCTCCGTGCTGCCCACATTCGGGCCCAGGCCTGAATCTGGGAGGACACAATACCTCTGAGCCTCGGCCCCAGGCTGCTCCACAGCTCCAGAGAGGGCAGGGACATCAGGAGAGACAGGGGCGCCCCCCGGGACCTACTGACCTTGATCACGGCACCCACGTTTGCTTTCAAATACTGCAGCCGCTCTAAGTAAGCCTTCCGCTGCCTGTGACCCCGCCAACGAGCCTGCACACAGCCAAGGACAAGAGAGAACCCACGCTGGTCCCCCTGGTGGCCCGAGGGGCTCTCCAGGGAAGTCGGAGGGGCAACTGTCCCGGTTCTCACAGAGCTTCCAACTTCATGGGGACACCAAACATCTGTGCCCTCTGCCACATGCCACCCCCTCACACATACACCCATAAAATCTCACACACACACCCCTCCTCACAGAAACAACCTAAGATACAGGCGGCGTAAGAGTAACAGGGCATTCACCTACTTGGCAACTTTATTCCCCCAAAATACATGCACACACACACACACACACACACACACACACACACACACAGAGCGTGGCCACAGAGCAGCCTGAGAGGCACATGGTTTCATGGATGGAGCACAGAGTTGGGTGCCCATCTCTGCCAGCAGCCGTCTGGGCCTCCCATCTGGATTGGTCAGCATTCAGGACCTGACTGGCGTGGCTTTCAGAAACGATTACTGTCTCGGGACACACGTGCGCTTCTGACTGGCACTCCCCCCGAGCTGAGGGCAAGTCGTCTCCGCTCTGGGTCATCTCTCCCTTTCTGTCTGTCTCCCAGGACCCTGGCCAAGGTCAACGCGCGGTCACCAGCAGAGAACGCTCCCTCTGACTCCATCTCCTCTCCCGCTGCTGGGGTGACCTTTTCAGAGTCCAGCCCGACCCACAGCCTGGGCGCTCGAGGCCCACGAGGTCTTCATTGAGGGCCCGTTCCCCGGTTGTACCCTGCACACCCCTCTGGTGTTGTCCGTGTCCCCGAGTCTAACATCAACTATATTCCAGTTCCTGCCAGGGGAGACGGGGCCTACTCACTGTGTGTCTCCTCCCGACCTAGCCCAGGGTTGAGTGCCATGCCTGGCAAGTACTAGCCATTCATGTTTATTAACAGCAGCAAAGTTGGCGTTTTGAACCCAGCAACCAAGGGAGAGAGATGGACCGCCGCCTGCGCCTTACAGATTTAACAATTCCACACTGGCCTGTGGGCCCACTGGCTTGGAATCAGCGGGCTGGAGGCAGTGGGCAGGTTTGGATGAATTGCCACCACTACTGTGAGACCCCCAGGTCCCGTCTCCCCTGGAGGTCTGCTTGTCTTCCTCCCCATAATCCCTGGCTTACACAGAGCCTCTGGCTGCCTTCCAAGTTGACTAGTGTCCAGTTACCTGACGGGAGGTCTAAGGCCACACTGGGCATCCACACATGGGAGGACTCAAAATAGAAAGAGCTGGCTGGACAGGAAAGAGAGAAGACTTCTTTGTGAAAGGGTCTTCCAGCCCTCTTCTGTCCAGCCACTGCCTCCTCTTCACCACTCCTCTCCTGCTCAGGAAGCCCTCCTGGTGCCCACATCTAATCCCTCTTACTGCAGTCCGCTCTTCTCTGAGGGCGGCTAAAGGCACATGGCTGCAGGTGGCACTTCGTCTGTGTTCTCACCTCCCTACCGTTCTAGACACGCTACCAACACGGCCTTCCTTAGCAAACCACCGCGGAGAATGCCGGCACACCCCGTTTTGCAGACGAGGATCTGCAGGGGCAGTGAGGAGACTGAAGGAGAGAGAGCGGGTAATTTGTCAAAGTCACCAGCCTGGGCAGTGGTAGACCTGGGATTCAGAGGCAGGTGGCCTGAGCAGAGCTCACGTCCTTAACCAAAGGTCACTACAACGTAGCCCAACAAAAAGACAGCCAGACGGAAGCCCGCTGACCCCAGGCCCCAGAAAGCCAGAGCCTGCCACCTGGATCGTGATGATCGCAGGGAGCCAGGCCCTTAGAAAGTGGGAGCGCTCAGCAAACGTCCGCCGGACCAGGAAGCCTCGGAGACGGGCCTGGAGCTGGATGATGAAGGGGACGTTGGCCTTCCAGAGCCGTTGGCGGTCATGGGCAGCCGTGACTTTGGTGACAGCCGACTGGAGGGACAGGGTGGGTCTGGTGGGTGAGAGTCTCTTTTGCAAGGACCCTCACCCAGGACTCCCTCTCTCGCACGGGTCCCTGCCGACCTGGATCTCCTCCCGGGTCAGGTGGGAGGTGTTGAGGTGGCAGCCCGGGGGTGGCTCCCAGGTCCCCTGGAAGGTCTGCAGATGGAAGTAGTAAGCAGTGCCGTCCTTCATGCTGTGCCGGACCCAGAGCCCTGTGTCCCCTACGCAGAAGGGAAGCAGGGAAGTGTCCGAGAGGGCAGGAGGGCAGGGCAGGCCTGGGGAGTTGTGGGGCAGGCCGCGTGGGGGTGGGAGCAGGGGATTCTGGTACCTGGACGCCGCTTCTTTGCCACGGTGTCTTCCAGGGCTCGCTGGTAGCCGGCGGCGCAGTCAGGAACCACTCCTCGGAGGGCCACGCTGGGGTTCCTCAGGACCCGCTCCGTCTGGGCCGCCTTGCCTTCCCTGATGGCCTGATTGATGGCAGCCACACCAAGAGCCACTGCAGGGCATCGGGAGAGAGGTGAGTGGCCTGGGCGACCCCTGGGGAGGTTTCAGGGGAGCAGAACCCTGTCAGGTGGAGGGGGTGTGTGCCTACATCCCAGGTGACCAGACAGAGGTGGAGACCCACAGCTGTGGTTGGAGGTGGGGTGGCAGCGAAGCAAGGACCCCTGCAGAAAGGCACGTGGGCCTGGGGGGAGATGACATTCACACTGCACAGAGGGCAGGGCCGGGCAGAGCCTCAGGGCGGCTTCTCAGCAGGAGCAGAGTCCAAGAAGTGGGGCGGCCGCTATCACTGGCGCCTCCCCATCACTCTTAGACCGACAGGTGGACAGAGGGACTCCAGGCACAGGGAAGTCACCCCAGCAGCGCCCCACTGTCTCGCTGCATTGTCCTCGAGCCCCTGCAACGCCTCCTCTCCCACCCTCAGACACTGCACCCTCACCACCTGATTGTGCCGGCTCCGGGGCAAGGGCCAGTGAGAGCCTCTGAGGATTCCCTGCCCAGCTGCCCGGTAGGGTCCAAGCAGCAGCCCTCCACTGATTCTGGCCTGCCTTCCCCCAGAGCCTGAAAGGGGAGCTGGTGATGGGGAGACCACCTGATGGCCGGGGGCTCCTGGAGAGCCCCCGCCCCCTCCCTCCCAGCCCCACTGGACCGGCGTACTTCTCTCAGCAGAGCTGGTGTCCTGGTTGGCTCTGGCCACTCCCTGGCGAATCTCCTCTAGCCACAGCACAGCTCCGGGGTCCCCTGTCACCTGACAGGTTGGGAGATGGGAAGAGAGACGATGCCAGGCTGTGCCTGGGGCTCCAGCCTAGCCATGCCTTGGGCAAAGCTGCAGGGAGACCCGGGGGGCGGCAGGGGCAGCGGCCTTTCCTCCCCTCTTCTTGGTCCTGTGCAGACTCACTCGGGCTTGTGGCTCTGAAGGCTCACCCTTCCCTGCCTTCAGGCTGTCCCACATGTCAACTCAGTCTGACGGCAGCATCCAGAGCTCACTGAGCTCTGTGCAGCCTTGAACCCTCAGAATCGACTGCCCTGCAGACCCTGCCCTCGGGCCTCAGCGAAGGCCCGGGACAGCGCCTCTACCTACCAACCCCCCCACTGCCCGTGCTCTCCCTCACCCCTTCTCCCTCCCATTCCTGCTCCAACTGCCCGGGCCTGCCACGGTCAGACTGATGCGGCTCGCCGGCCCCACGCTGCCCTCTGCCCATTCACAGCAGACTTCTTTGAGAAGGACGATCACACTCACCCTGTCATGCCACCGTCAACTACTGTCCAGACTGTGCCCATTAAACAAGGCTCCCCGGTCCCTCTCCCTCCAGCCCGGGGCAGCCACGGCCACTTCCCGGCTCCAAGCCTTGGCGGGGCCTGCTCTAGGTATGCCATGGGCATGGGGGTCACGCGCTAGTTGTCTTTCTGCGTCTGGCTACTTCCCCTCACACACCGTTTCTAAGGCTCATCGTGTCCCAGGACAGCATTTCATGGAGCTCGGACTGTGTGCCGGGATCTCTGCACGGCGCAGACGGCCATGCGTCTGACTGCTAACGAACAGCGCAGTGGCTCCAGCCTACCCAGAGGCTCCTTCAGTCATGGAGGCAGGGGCGGGGGGCCAGGGCACAGTACTGGAGAGCTGAGAGAACAGAGCCATGCCGGGCTATGCTCCAGGCCACGTGGTCAGGGTGTGTTAGAGTAGGAAGTCCGGTCCGGGCTCCTGGGTCCAAGCCCTGTGCTCTTTCCAGATTCAAGGCCCCGCTGGCACCCAGAGCTCAGGCCTGCTCGTGAGCCTGGTCTGACCTGGCCCCTAAGCCCACTGACCCCCGACCCAGGAAGGAACTGTGCCCTGAAGACTGGCAGCACAGTCACTGCCCACAGAGGCGTTCTCCTCCTCTGGTGGCCAACGTAGCTGGTGTGAGCCTCACCTGGGCCTTCTGCCTTCTGGCTGCCACGAGCAGGTGGTGGTACCGTGGGGCGGCAGGGAGGCTGATCTCGGCCAAGCCAGCTGCAGGCAGCAGCAGGGCAGTAAGTGTCTTCTGGGGGCTGCCATGGTCCAGGGCCTCGTTGATGAGGCTGACTGCGAGGACCCCTGTGAAGGGATCAAGGTGGGCAGGGGCCCTCAGGCTTCTGGCTGAGGGACAGGGCCGTTGGGTGGGGTCCGTGGCTCCACTCACGATCGGTCTCTTCCTGGACCTGGGCGTTGACCTGGCTCAAGGTGGTCTGCAGGTCATTCCAACTCAGGAAGGCCCCGTCCACACCACGCTCCTGCCGCAGCCTCACCAGCGCCTCGAAGTAACTGGGATGGTGGGGTGGGGGGCAGCCAGATGATGTCTCTCGGCCTCCAGAGCACCTCGCCTCTCAGTGGGGGCTCCCAAGGCTCAGTCCTCTGCCCCTCGACGCTCTCACCCTACTCGATCGCCCAAGCTGAACGACCCCCCCGCATGCCTCCAGTCTGCTCCCAGCTCCCCCATAGTTATGTCTAACAAGCGCTCCAGGCTCGCATCGCATACCTGAATCCTGACTCCCTCCACCCGGCCCGCGACTCCCAGACTTTGTGGTCTCAGGAAACCTTTGGTCCAACCTCTGGGACCCACAACCTGGGGGTCATGCCTTGTCCCACTCTCGCTCACACCTTACCCCCACGACGTGACCAGATCCCCGCCCCCCCCAGTCAGCTCTGCCCTGCCCAGGCCAACGCTGATCTAGCCAAACCTATGCCAACCGCAGCTCTCCGCATCACCTCCACCGCCACCGCCCAAGACCTTGCCCACCAGCTCCCTCTAGAGCCGGCTCTCGGCACGGCGCTCAGCGAGATCCTGCTGAAAGTAGGTCAGACCAGCTCCCTCCGTGCTCAAACCTCCTGTGGCTCCTTCTTCACGTGAAGCCAGAGGCCCGCTGCTCCTGCACGCCCGTCTGTGTGCCGCCACCCCCGGCCTCCCGGTGTTCTTCCAGTGCACCGGGTCTAAGGGCCTCTGCCCCCACTCATGCCCTGTAGTTCCCTTCACCATGACCCCCTGACCAAAGAGGCCACCCACAACCCCAGGAAAACACCAAAGTCACCCCACAGGTCCCCACCCTTGGCCCCTCGGTCTGGCTAGATTCTCTCCACAGCTCGTCTCTCTCAGTCTGGCATGTCCGTGACCCTGTGCCCCCAACAGCACGTGTGGTCTGGGGGAGTAGGGCACTGCTTTGTGTCCGGCACTGCGGTGAGGCAGCAGAGGAAGGCAGATGGCTGTGGCCCAGCCACTCCCCGAAGAAACCAGGCCAAGGGGCCGGGAGGGGTGGGCACGGGGGATGCAGAGGCTCCTCTCTAAGCAGGCATCTTGGGCTCCACCCACTGCCACCCCCAAACCGAGCTCACCGCCGAGCATTCTCCGCTTCCACCTCGGCCAGGCCTGTGGCGGGGTTCACCAGGCTGCTCCAGAAGCCGCCAGCATCCCCAGCCTCCAAGGCCCGGTTAATCAGGACCACCGCCGACAGCATCTCCACGGCTACAAAGAGCTCCTCCTGGCACAGCTCCTAGAGCACGCAGGGGCGGTGCCCAGGCGAGTGGTAGAGGGCTTGGGGCCTGCCCTCCACCCAGAACCAACTCCAGCCTCTCAGTCTCCATCCCCAATGGCCTGGCTCAGTCACGGGGAGACCCCAACTTTACACTTGGGAGGACAGCAGCTGTGCTGTATGAGTGGCACACTCGCACACATGCCATCACTGCACATCTACCGGAAGCCAGGGAGGCAGGTACCATTAATAGCCACTGCGCAGATGAGGGAACACGCCGGGCAAGTAATGGGAACGGTGGAGGCTGCCTGACCCCAGAGCCCAGACCTAACTGACCAGTTCTACTGTCTCCCTTCCCCTCCTGACTACACGCAGACAAAGGAGTCACCCCCATGCTGGACCCAACAACAGCCTGGCCCACTCCCCGCCCAGCTTGGCTCCTCCTTCTGCTCATGCTGTTCCTGCTGCCCGGCTGGTTGCCGTCCCAGCAGCTGAGACTCACACACACACACTGCCTCTAGGCCAGTCCTGGGCTTAGCAGCTGGGTAGCTCACTTAGCCCTGCCAACAACTCCGTCAGCAGCGGAGTGACGGACCCTACGTTGTGTGTGCAGAGACTGAGGGTTGGAGGAGGTACATGACTCCCCAGGGGTTGGCCAAGCTGGACTTCAACTCGGGCCTGGCTCTAACGCTCACCCCCTCAGCCCGGGAGCATCCCTTCTCTGGGCTTCTGTGACGCCTCCTGGCTCTGCAGCGACTGAGCTGTGGACGCCCGCTCTCCCTGAGCACACGCTCCTTGGAGCAACGCTCTGTGATGCCTCTTCCAGGAAGCCTTCCCAGGAGGCCCTCTGCTCAGCTCCCTCCAGCTCCGGCATCTGAGGATCTTCCCTGGTCATCTCCCTCCCCCTCCCTGTGTCTGTCTGGGTCCCGGGGTTGCTCCGATTCCTCCGGCTGACCCACTCGAGAGCTCTCTGAGGGAGAGGCTGTGGGGACTGAGGGGAGGGGGCAGTCAGGGGTCCTGCGCCATTTGGGCTGCAGGCACTGGCCCCGCCGGCTGTCTGTGCTGGCAAGTGACTGAGCCTCCAGGCCCCGGCCTCCTCACCTCTGGAGTGGATGCCACATTAGGTAGCAATAAAGAGGGCGTGCATACGCCACCCCCACGGTCCATTCTCACCCAAGGCCTTATGCCATCCTTCTCCTACAGAACGGCAAGTAGCACCCCCGGGCATAACCCCCACTGCACTGCCAAGTCCCCCCACCTAGGGAAGGCAGTGCTGAAACAAGGGTAGTGGTTATTGCCCGTTCAGGGAAGAAAGGAGCGTAGCCCCCGTTGCCCCCTCCCCGCCTCAGAAGGTGCCCTGGACTGACTGCCCACCACACTGTTGGGAAGCCTGAGAGCTGGACCCCTCCTCCTGGGGGCTTACCCCCTGCTGCTGCCGCTGGAGTACTGCCAGTTCTTGCTGGTACAGAGCTGAAGCAAAGGGGTACACTGGGGGCAGCTGGGCTTCAGGACACATCAGCTCCTTCACAGTGCCCGCCGCCACGCCCCGCAGGATGGCTCCGTTGATCCTCTGCACGGCCTGGAGCACTGCAGGGAGGAGGGGAGGCTGACCGGCCGAGGCGCAGAGCTACTTTTACTCTGCTGGGGACCGCCGGG